AATGTTTAACAACCAACTCTCCAGGGAGAAGCAAAGGTCTGACTTGCACTTCCACCATAATCACTTTCAAGCTACCAACACACACAAGAACTGGCTCAGGAGGCCGAAGTCAACTTGGACACAGCACAGCTTGCGCGTGTGACTGGTATAAACTAGGCACTGTGTTAGTCTTCATACATCCGTTATAACCTCATTTACTGCTTTCAACAACCTTTAAGAGGAAATAAAATGTTCATCTTCAAAGTAAACTGAGGCTTGGAAAGGCTTTATAAGCTTGCCCAGGGAGACACAGACGGGAAATGCCATTCTGGTCTTTCCAACAACTATTCTTCCTATTCAGGCTAAATTGATCCCTCATTTTAAAAAGTTAATCAAAAACAAATTTTAAATTGGGTTAAAAGGCACTTCTGAAGGAGAGTCACCCGTTATTTTGAAATTTTACTCATTAGGAACACCATAGGCCTTGACATTCATCCATAGGCAAGGGAAGTGTAATGCACAGGTCTTTAGATTCAGAAAAGGCTTCACCAGAGAAAAATCAGCGGAGGCCTGTTCAGTGATAAGTCCAAACTCAAGCAGGAATTTGCAAATAAATCTTCTCAACACCCCCAAGCAGTGTAGAAAGTGGCTCTGAGTAATCTAGAGATAGTCCCTTTCAGCTTGTTAAGTAGCAATAGCTCCCGCCAAGACCCACCCCGGCCTGGGCCGGGCATGGGACTCTTACCACACCAGTTCCACACGCCCCCAATTCATGCATTCACAGATGCAAAGTTAGCACGTGGACACACCTCAACAAACAGCCTTACAGCAAAGTGCAGGAAATTCCATTCCGGCACTTATCATATAATCTGTGTCATACCGTCATATAACAACATGCCCCCTGCTTGCACCGAGCATCAACAACCTAGGGAGCACCTAACCACACTCTGGAAGGAGAGTAGGGATATCTTGGGAGTGAACATTACCAGGATTCTATTTAAATTAAACACCAAACTCTCCACCCAGAAGCTAATGATCACTATACTTAAAAATTTCTAATTAGACAAACTGCATGGAAGGAACCACTTACGCAATCAGTGGCAAGTTTCAACTTCTGTTTCTAGCCAGAATCAAAGAGGTGGGTTGATCTTGCCACAGAATAACACATTCCCTTTGCCCTCCCTGGCACCCATTGTGGAATATATTACTCCATTATGGAAGCTGCTATTGTGTGCCTGTTAGGTAAGGAGGATTTATAATTCGGCAACCATGCTTTGGTAATTATTTCTATACCAGCCAAGGCTCAAACCTCACCATATACCAAAGTCCACAAGGCTTCAATATTACAAAAAGCAAACAAAGAGAGCTGTCAGTAAAGGCTTTGGAAGTCTACTTTTACCTTACAGCAACAACACTGAGCTATAATCTCTCAACATCTTCAAGAAACTGAGACTGTTAATGTACAATACTCTTTATTGTATTTTCAGTTCAGTTCAGTCGCTCAGTCGTGTCCAACTCTTTGCGACCCCATGGACTGCAGCACACCAGGCTTCCCTGTCCACCACCAACTCCCGGAGCTTGCTCAAACTCATGTCCATTGTATTTTGATCTTCCCTATGTTAAACCTGAATGCATTGAATTAAAAAAAATAAAAATACATGCACTTTTTCCCTAACTTTCACCCAACAAAGAAGACAATCAACAGTAGCCTCATTCAGAGATCTTTGCTAAAAAGCAGAATGCTTTGACATGTAATATTGCCATCATTACAGATTAAGTAGTAGACACATAGGGGAATAAGGAGAGGAAAGACAAGAAGAAAGCAGCAATGGGCAAAGGTGGGATACTCCCAGCCTCCCCTTTCCATAGCCCACACTACCGGCAACCACATCCACCCTCTGTGGATGGTCCATTCATAACTAGAAGTACCTTCCTGGACATGACAGCGTTCTACCCCACCTCCCTCATGCTGTGCTCTCTTCATCCTCCCTCCATTCCCCTCACGCTCTACTTCGCAAGTCTGCCATCTGGAATCGCATGTCCGTGGGGCCAGACTTTTGGTTGTTAGGAAATACAATAAACTAGCTTTACAAGCTAATGGGATAAGAGTAAAGTAGATGACACCACTCATCCTCCTGCTTCCTACAGGTACATTCAAACGGTTCCCTGGGCTCTCCCAGAGGTAACAGCTACTTTTTACTGACTCATCCCAAGAGCGATCCCAGGAATAAGGATTTCAGTCCAGGCCATAAGAAGAAATGACACCATGGCAGGCTTCATCCTTGGGACTGGGGTGGAGGTGGCTGGAATAAGGAATGCGTACAGTGAGAACTGGCCTTATCAGAATGCATCTTCCTTAACAGTACGCAGATAGCCTAGCAGAAATCCAGCCAGCCTTCCCTGGGGACTTTTCCATTCTCACATCTGTGCAGATTAACCACAATCAACGTTTGAGTCACAACACCCGACAAAATAGACAGCTTGTAGAAAACAACCTTTAAGAATTCAAGCACCAGAAACACCAGTCTCCAGCAACAGTCCTTATCATAACCAAGATGTTGTGAGTTGTGCAACCAATTTCATATGACTGGAAGGTTCTTTTGTTTGGCAGCCAGGTAAAACAAGGGCTGACTCCTTTAAACAATCTCCCTTCCCCTACATACCCTTCATACACAGAATTCCTTTTGAAGCCACCGAAAATCCCTTTCACAGAACAGAGGGATAAGAGCAATCCATTTGTTTTTATATGAGCCTATGCTCTCTCTCCAACTGTTCAAGCTAGTTCCCTTTCCTTCTGCAGACCTCTTGTCAAAATTCTCACATTCCAGGAAGCTGTTTCCCACAATGGGTCTCCTCTAAATCAAAATGGCTGTGGTCCAAAGGTTGTGCCAAAATAAAATTCAATGCACTGCCAGCAACGTCTTAGCAAAATGAGTGACCTTTCCTTCTTCCATGTTTTTTACTTCTTAATTGCCATGTCTGTCCCAGTGAAGTGACAAACATCTGAGGTAGGAATTGCTTTTATCCTTGTTTTTTTTTTTTCTTTTTAAGAGCTTCAGATGATGACTCTACTCAATAAATTGAAAATCATTATTATATACAAATGCATATGCTAATGATGACCTGCAAGCTCAGATGGCGGAATGAATAAACAATTACTGGCAAACACTATGGTATGGCATTTCAATGAAGTCATCACAGAATCACTAGCAATTATCCTCACAAACTTATGGTGAGGTGTCTATGGGCTGAGAGAAATGCATACTTCTGTCTTAAAAAGAGAAATAGGAAAAACTCAAAAAATTAGATTCAAAACCTTAACACTCAGATCCAGAAATAATATTGCAATCTTATAAACACACAGAGAGAGAGAGAGAGAGAGAGTAGCATGCCAAATAAAATGAAGGCAGTTTTGTTTAAAAAAGAAATCCTGTCACATTAGTCAAATGCTATTCCTTAGAAGCACGACAAGTCTGATAAAACTAAGGCAAAGAGGGGCTTCCTCCGTGGCTCAGCAGTAAAAAATCCGTCTGCAATGCAGAAGATGCAGGTTTGATCCCTGAGTCAGGAAGATCCCCTGGAGAAGGGAATGGCTATGCTATAGTCCATGAGGTCGCAAAAGAGTTAGATATGATTTAGCAACTGAACACCACCAATAAAGAAGGCAAAGACATGAAATAGTTTTGACTGTTGTACAGTTTTAAGCTTTGTCTTGCTTGACATTGGGCAATAAAAGTACTACATCCTGAAATCACCTTCTCATCAGGCAGATTCATAAATGACTAGAAGGCCTTTCCCAGTAAGTAATTATTAATGGTCCAGTGTCAGCCTAGAGAAGCACACCTTATGGGATTCCAAATAGGTTGGTCTCAACCTGGTGCTATTTTTAGTAGTGACTGAGAGGATGGTAGAGAATATGGTTATTAAGTTCAAGCATGACATCAAACCGGGTGTGGTACATTCCGCTTTGGAAAACTAGATAGAAGTGCAAATGATCTTGATGAGTTAGAGAAGTGGGTGGATGTAAACAGATTGAGGCTCTGTAGTGTAATTCACATGGGAAGAAAAACAAACCACACAATTGCAGGATTCATTCTGTGATGTCATAAAGAAAACAATCCAGAGGTCAAGAGTCAACACAAAATATTGGTGTTTGTGCTTTAACCTTAAAAAGCATGATTTAGTCAAAGAAAACCAGGAGCCCTTTCCTTGATCCTCAGTACAGATAGAGGCTATTCTAGAATGCTGGGCAATGTCTATAGCACCACATTGTAAAGTAGGATATGGATAATATGGGGGCTTTTAAGAGGAAATCAAATTTTCTTATTGATTGCAAGCTAGAGAAACAGCCCTTAGAGAAACAACTATAATGATAAAGGTATAGACTTAGAAAAGATTGAGGAAAGTACTAAACCACTTTCAAGCCTAGAAAGAGGGAAAAAGACAGAAATCAGTTTCAAAGCTATTAGAAAATCTTCCTAGCAAAGAAAGCTGTGGGAAACCAGAGAGCACTGCAATGGACTCAGAGGTCCTCTCTGAAAACTTCAAAGAATTGGCCTTTCTCTGAATTTGGGAACATCTTTAAGCACAGACAAAAGAGTACACAGGTGAAAATAAAATCAAAAACTTTGTATTTCCTGTTTATCTGGGTTTTCCCCCCTTTTCTTTAGTGGTGGGAGGGAAGAAAGGAGTAGGGCTGGCCACTGTGTTTCAGGACCTTCACCTCTCCGTTTGAGACCGTGTGACACCTCGAGCCCCGTCTCCCGCCTATGCTGCTCCAGGGCCAAACATTGCCTTGTTCAGTTTCTTTGCTCTCTTGTTTCAGGGATGGTTCCTTGCAGGTAATACTGTGTTTTGAAGAAACTACAAAGCCCAAGCTCTTTGCCATCTCTGAGTGGGATGCAGCCTGAATCCCTAAAATCAGGTTTTGCTCATTTCCCACCATTCGGTTTTTGCTCAAACCTTGCGCTCTGTCTAGAATTTGTAATACTTCTTTCATCAACTTCCAAGGAACTTCCTACCTTTTAAGGCCAGGTACTGTCCCACCTCTCATGGAGCTGGTCTAACCTCTTCTTGCACAGTGCTTTCTCCTTCCCAGGAACTCTGAGCATTCATGGCATTTGTTTGATACACAGTCACACACAGCCTTGTGACATCTCAGGGACTGTTGACTCACCACTTAACATTTACTGTGTGTCTACACAACATTCCCAACTAGACTGTAAGCTCTTTGAAGGTGAGGATTATCTGTTAAAAATTGTTTCTTATCTTCCAGCACCCAGTTCAGCCAGTACTGTGTTCATGGTAAGGATGGAGTTAATATTTGCTTAATGAATGAAGGAATGATTAAGAAGAATGTTTAAAGTAAATTTGACTCTTTACCCAGAAAAGTTGTTTCCTACCTTGGAAAACTATTTCTAAGGAGAGACTATTTCACAAGAAAATAAAAACTGATAAAGGGAAAAAAAAACATTTCATACACTCTTAGTAGGAAAAGCCAGTGTTAATATTATAACCCCCCCAAAAAAAACACAATACCTTTATATATAGAAAATATAATATCACAGTCTTTAAATGGTGTAGATTATAAAAAGTATGCAACCATTGATGTTTTCATCTGAAAAGAACATTTCTTATCAGTACAAGCAATTATAAAAGCCAAAAAGAAGTCAACCTTGTAATCTTGTGTGTGTTTCATTTAATATGACTTAGTCTAATAAAATTTGGTCACTTTTCTTTTATTATTTTAAGATTAAAATGTTGTGTTCATTCTACTCCAGCTCACTAAGACTGGTCTTTCTGCTATGATAGCCAGTAAGGTGTCAGAGGTGGTGGCCAAATTTAATATGTATATTTCCACACCTTAGATTTCTAGTTAGAACACTGGTTCATTTTATAGAGATAAATATCCTATGATAGCCAGTAATCTAAGTTGCATTTGAACTCATGACCTGGAACTTAAAAGCACCATATCTACAGCACTTTTTCAAAAACCTCAGCATAGGCACTGTCTGAAAATGAGGAGATACAGCAATTGTGAGCACTGTTCAATTGTTTACAATCTCAATACGTAGGTGGGAGATGTTCAGATACTAAGGAAGCAAGCGTGATGATGTGCACTGGTTGAGGAGGTTGCCTGACATCCAAGTAAAACTTGTTCTTCACTTGAGTTACACTTCAGAGTCATTTCCTGGGAACCTGTTACACATAGTAACATAGGATACCCACCCCCCCAAATTTCTATAATAACTCACAAAGTCCAGAGTGCTTGTAAAAGCAAGTGGAGTAGGTTGGGGATTAAAGAAATGAATTTTGACCAAAACTGCAGGTTTGAGAATTAGTCAAAAATAATAATATCCTGCCAAAATCTACACTACCCTCTTTCCAGCTGAGGCTATCTAATGGAAATCTGTTCCTATACTAATTCTTACGGGATTTCCTTTGAAGACTGGCTACCACCCTCCATAATTCAGTCATGTGTGCTTGTTCAGTTGCCCTGGAGGAAGCTGTTTTTGACTCTTTAGGACAGTGAGCAGGACAGTCGGTACAAGGGAATGCCTGCATCAAGCCAACCACAGCCACACAGCAAAAGGGAGGATGTAAGGATCTAGAATAGAACAGGACCTGGGTGACAGTAATTCCCAAAGCCTTTGGCTGTTGGTGCATCACCTACTCAGAAAAAAAGTCTTCACTCTTGAGTCCTCACTTGAGATTTCCAATAAGGGGCAAGGCTTAAGTCCAGGCACAGGCGTGGGGGAGGTTTTAAATACTTTCTGCCAGAGGCTAGAAGATGGGGATGCAAGCTGAGCGGGGTAATGGCTGAGAAACTGGCTTCACAGACTAGCCAACCCCCACTCTGCCCTCAGCACTGTTATTAACTTGCTAGCAACAACGTGAGTCAGTTAGCATCTCTCAACTTCAGTTTCTTCATCTAAAAACAATCCTTACCTCAGGTTGATATGAGAGTTAAATGGAAGAAGGTTTGTATTCTACTTCAGACAACACCTAGGATATACTAGTCTTTCGACTAATTGGGCGTACTGGGATTATCACTATTACTGGGGATGAAGGAGCTCATAAAATATCCAGGGCAGCCCTGATCACCTGCACTGGAACCACTTACACTGAGGCAAGACCTGTCATGGAAAATGTCACTCACCATGTGACTGGATAAACACAATGCAGGCTTCCAAGCAGCAGAGGGCCGATCTTTTACCTGTTTTCCCAGAGCCTCTGGTGATGCCCTAGGCACAGTGAGCACTTTTCAAGTGTTTCCCAATAAACTGAACAAGAGAACAGGACGGTGCAAGAGGCCAGAGCAGAAGCAACATCTTGAAGAATCTAAGCGACTATATTAAAGCAATTACAAATTAAAAGTTTGGAAACGTAAAGCCAATATTCATTCTTTCTGGATGAATTCAGGATCTTTCTGGATCCTGACTCAGTATTTCTTCTCTCTCCTACTCTCCTCACCTTTTTTATGAACTCCAAACACCTCAACCAGATGTAATTCATGACAAAAATTGCCAAGTATGCTTTTGTTCCTTTTTCACTCAGTATTTGTGGGCTGGTGCAGAGTATGACAAACACAGGGCTAGGTGCTCAAAGAGTGTGACTGATTTCAGTAATTCTTCTTATTCTCATAGGGTGAGAGAAACCACAGGCCTTGAGGATGAAATGGGACAAGTCATCAACCACTCTCTAACACCCATTTTCTGAGCCTGGTCACACATCAGATCTGTTTTCACTGTTTCTCTGTACCAAGGTTTTCACACTTCCTGTGCATGGATTGAAGTAAGAGAAAAGGAGGAAGCAGATGATTTGGGTGTCTTTTCCTAGGGAAAATTAAAAAAGGTGTATGAATGTGATTCATAATTGCTTCATATGAGATACTGGTCGTTTCACTTTTCACCTTACTTCAAGCAGTCTTTATGAAATTCAGTTACTCAAGCACTCAGGATTTAGGAAGACAGGCTGATATTTAGCCAAGAAGAGATACAGAATAATTATGAGGTAAGGATAAATTTCATTTTGTTTTCTAATTCAGTCACATATGAACACAGAATTTCTCCCCAAATTCTCAAGATATTTCATGTGTAATTGATACTCTTTTTTAAAGCAATCAATCTTGGACATACCCTCAAAACTTTTTAAAGCCAGAATGCTAGTCAGAGGATTATAGGTCCAGAAGCTATTTTTTAAATGGTGCAAAAGTACCAAAAATCAGTTATCTTTCAAATAAAATCATAATTCAGTATCAGATGTATGTGTTTCAACAAACAATAATGTAACATTTATTAAAATGTAAAAACAATTTCAATCCCAGAAACATTTGCTAAATAAATAGTAAAGGGGAATGTTACAAAAGATTGAATGGATTTGACACCCAAAATCTATGGCAATTCCAAAGTTGTGCTTAGTTCTGTTGACATTTATTAAAATAGTACAGATTGACTGGAAAGCGGAGATAAGATGCAATCATTGCCTCATGAAGTTCCAACCTACCCCAGCTGCACAAAGCAATAAAGACGCAAATTGGTGTAACACAAAGTAGTGAATGCTTACTGCTGGCAAATGTCCCAGAATCAGCTTCTAGTCCAATCTGGGGAGAATCGAGGGACTCTTCTCTGAAGAATAATCCTGAAAGGTGAAGAGGAATTTTCCAGGTGGATGTGGCAGAAGGATAGTGATGGCAGAAACCATCTGAGAACACCAGAGAGTTTGGTGGAGTTATGCGAAGCATCTACACTGGGTGGTGACAGCGAAGGAGGCTGGGTAAAGATAAAACCTGAAAGGAGGTGAAGGCAGGGACACTGAAAAGCTGGGAGTGATTGGTAGGGTAACAGCATGTCTTGTAATACCCGGGTAAACCTGGTTTATACCTATGGTCCCAACACAGTTATTCACAGCCCTGCACCCTCAAGAGTGTCCCCAGTTGGTTGGTAAAGTTTTCAGGTCTTCTTACTGATTGGAAGTCATTGGCCCAAAGATCCAAACACAAGGAAAACCTGACTCCTGCCCTGAAAGGGGTTCATGAAAATCGAAGAGGCAGACAGGAAAACAGCTAATTACGGTACAAATCAAAAGGTGGTATATGCTGTAACATAAGAATGAGCGTTCATATCCAGAAGTGATGACATTTGAACAGAGTTTTGGAGGATGAGTGGGAATGGAACACTCTAGATACTAAAGGTCACATCATGTTGGAGGGAGGCCAGCATCCAAAGTGGTCGGACAGAAAAGAACCTCAGTGTCACACTTCATTCTGTATGAAAGACTCTGGGTCCACCCACATCTCTACAAATGATCCAATTTCATTCTTTTTCTATGGCTGAGTAATATTCCACTGTAGATATGTACCACATTTCTATAGATATGCACCCCATTTTCTTTATCCACTCATCTGTTGTTGAACATTTAGGTTGTATTTATAGATATATGTGGATTCTAGGAAAATGGTAGTGACAAAGCTACTTCCAGAGAAAGCATAGAAACGTGGACGCAGGGAACAGACATGTGGACACAGAGATATGAGGAGAGGGTGGGAGAACTGAGAGATTAGGACTGATGTATGTACACTGCCATGTGTGAAAGAGCTCGTGGGAGCATGCGGTAAAGCGCATCAGCTCGGTGCTCCATGATGACCTTCATGGTTGGGACGGCTGGGGGGAGGGAAGACCCCAGAGGGAGGGGATCTGTGTACACGTGCGGCTGACTCACTTCTTTGTACAGCAGAGACTAACACAACATTTACACTCTAGTAAAAATTTTAAAAAGAATTTCAGTGTCTCTGGTGGCAAAAGCTGAAAAGTTAGCCTTGAAGACGAATTATCAACAGCCTAGAATATCACATCAAGGAATCTGGAGCTGAAAATGTCAGCATTGAGGAGTCCTGATGGGTTTCTAATCGGAGGATCCATGGGATCCAGTTTGGCTTTTGAATAGAAAACCCAGCTTCTCTGCGGAGGATGAACTAGAGCAAGGAGACAGATGACAGCTGCACTTCAAATGGAACAGAATTCGGTGCTGCAGGTATCAGAGCCTGACTGCTACCTTATATGAAGCTTGATT